AAAGCCTAAATGGCAAAAGTAATGCTATTCATCTCCATTGTGGATGAAAACACAGTCTGCATGGCGTTAATGTGGCATTAAATGATAAGTAAAATTAAATAAGTCATTTAATTTCACATTTCATTTAACCTATCATTTAAAACCCCATAAATTGTGCTTTCATCCATACTAGGAATGAATAACATTACTCAAACGGTAATGGATGTCATTGAGCATTCACCATATTAGCAGCTAGTTTATTGAACTTTAACTTGATAGAATAAAATCAATATATTTTAATTTACGAGGAATTGGGTCACTTTGTTTGAGTTTTTCAATGAATTATTGGAATTAACTGAACTAAAAATGGCTAATTTAATGTTTGAATTGACACCAAAGGCATCCAACACGAACGAAGAACACTAGCACACAACACTGCATCTTCTTCCGCAAAAGAGGATTCCTTTTCACCCATATCTTTTGCTAATTTTGTTTTCAACCTATCAACCTTCTTCTATAAATCTAGCATTAGATTGCTAGATTGATGATTAACAACGTGTTAATACAAAGAGAAGAATCCGCATATACTATACAAAAAATATATAAGGTCACTACAATAGAATAATCTTAAGTTGAATTTTTTATGAATAAGAATGTCAAATACCTCGATCTTTCTGCATCTAAAAACATCGTGACCTGAATTATTGTCTATGCTTGATGTTCTAAGGACTGATCTTTCTCCACAATGGCACTATGATGATTTTTTCCAGCTAGATGTGGAAGAAATCCTTTTTTTTTCCTATTTTTCTCCACTAAACAAATTGACCTTCAAATTAAAGTATAGTGACGCAGTTACAGCAAATAGAAATTTAGTGACCTAGTTGCAAGTGTGGTAAAATTATAGTGCAATTTTAGAGAAGCTAGTTTTGACGAACATGTCAGCAAGATCATTGGTGGAATTCAAACGAGTGCATAATATGGTGTCCAGCTTATACCAAAATTCAAGTATATCGACCTAGTTGTCAATACGATACAATAATCTTTCGCGTGATTTATTCATTTAAAACGAAAATTTGTGTGAGATGTGTATCTACCATCTTGTTTTAGTCCATTGTCAAACATGATTAAATAAGGGCTAGCACATGAATTTTGTCGTACGAATGTGTAAATGTTGGTTCAAAATCACACGTTTGTATGCTTATAATACACTCAACTATTTTGTCATACGTGGAAGATTTTACAAAATTATAAACTTCATAATTTAGACACAAATTCGCTAGTGTAATTATCTACATTGTATCACTTTGAATTACCAAATGTTACATAGCAAGCATCGATACCATCTCCTACGAGCAATATCTTAAAAGACTAGATACGTTGGGTGTTGATTTTAAAAGGCCAAACGAAAATGATTTTATTAACAAAAATATTTTCTTTACAAACCAAACAAACACCTCACACTTTCTCTCTTGCACACTCACTCTCTTTGCACTCTTTCACTTACACACTCAAATACACTATTAATATAATGAACGCGCACGCCCTAGCGCGCACACACACATATATAGACATTTGATTCTTCTACACAAAGGTTGATGATTCTAGATAATTCCATAAACTAATTATAAGGAATTCTCATGGACTCTACAATAGTGGTGATTTATGAATTCTTCTAAGTTTCTCTAGTTGGTTGCATAAGGAAAAATCTAGAAAATTGGTGATGATTCTTCAATTCTTCCATTCAGCACCAACTTTTCATTTTAACTCTTTCTTTTTCGTTATGCCCAGCTCTACCTGAAATCAACAAGTTTTGAAGCGTTCCGTCTTCCATTTAATGCATTTGCTACTTCAAATATGTTTGGCTCTTCCATCTTCATCGATTTTGATACTCAATTTTTCATGTCTATTCAATTTTCTTATTTGTGATCGTAAATTTGTACATACTTCAATATCTTGTTGACTTTGTTGATCCTCCATTAGAGTTTTCTGTTCCACGTCATTTTGCCAAGAATTTTGTGCCGTTCTTACAAGTTCTTCTTCATCCTTTGACACTTGTAGATATTTAGATTCCTTAGGACTTCATTGTTGGGCTCCTATAATTTCTTTTTGCAATTTGTTTTCTATTTCTTTTGAATCTAGCAACTGCAGTATCTGCTAGGAATATGTTTCTTCAAAGACTTCTTCCGAGTCTGGTAGTTTCTCCCTCTGCGGAGTCAACCAAGTAGACTCTTCATGAATCACGATGTCCTCTCCCGAACCATCTATCCAATCATTTTCTTCTGAGTCATCATTCCAATCATCTTCGAAATCCATTTGTTCAGGAAGAACCACAACTAATGCTGATTCATCATTTATACTCGAATTGATTTTCTTTTCTTGAGCATTTTCAATTACTGTTGTGGATGCCTCAACATCTCATTATTCTTCATTATCATATTTCTTTTGCTCGTTGGAGATTGCTATATTTCCTTCTACTAGCTCCTTTTTAAACCTACAGTCTCTAACATAATGGTATTGTTTTTCACGTACAAAACACTAGTCATTAGTTCGTTGATATCCTAAGCCTCTTTTATCGCGGTTTTGCTTGGCTCCCATTGTCACAGAACCTTCTCCATATGTATTTTCTTTTAATTTCTTATTATTTTGTTGACGATATCGACTTCGTCCTTTATAACTATATAGCGTTTCTTCATTTTCTTTCTTTATTGAGACCCCTAACATTTGTTTGGTTAAAGCTTCTTAGTTGATCAACAAATTTTCGAAATTGACCAATGAAGGTTGCTTTGGCCAAACTTGGATGGCAGCAATGAACCCTCTAAATTCGGGTCTCAAACCATGTATAGTTGTTTTTCTCGTTCTAGACTCCGAAATCTTGCTTGAAAAATCTAATTCTGAAATTTCGTGACAAAGATATTTAATTTTATTAAAATATAGACTTACTGTTTGTTCTCCTTGAGTGATCGAGAGCAGCTCGTTTTCCAACAATTGCAATATCAAGTCATTTTTCTTTGAAAAAAGAGCAGCTAGAGTGTCTCATGCTTCCTTTGGTGTAGTTTTGTCTCTTATATGCTCAAACAATTCTTCCTCAATTGTTGTCTTTATGACGAGCATGGTCTTACCCGCTTTAATTCTCCATTTCTTCAGAGCTTCGACCTCCTCTGGTGGCATCATATCACTTCCACCAACTACTTCCCACAAATCTTGCCCTTGGAGATACGACTTCATACAAGTTTTCCATGTGGTGTAGTTTTGATTATGGGCTTCTTTACTCCGCCTACCACTTGTAGGTTGTCCATCGTGACTTGATTTACTTCTTCGTAATCAAGCAAGTTTTACAAAAGTTTCACAATTTCTTTTTTGTGCACGAACACCTGAAGCTCAAAAGTCTGTTTCCAATCACCTCGCTCTGATACCAAATTGTTGAGTTTAGAGGCCAAACGAAAATGATTTTATTAACAAAAATATTTTCTTTACAAACCAAACAAACACCTCACACACTTTCTCTTTTGCACACTTATTCTCTTTGCACTCTTTCACTTACACACTCAGATACACTACTAATGTAATGAGCAAACGCATACATACGCATATAGACATTGGATTCTTCTACACAAAAGTTGATGATTCTAGATAATTTCATAAATTAATTATAAGGAATTCTCATGGACTCTAGAATAGTGGTGGTATATGGATTCTTCTAAGTTTTTCTAGTTGATTGCATAAGGAAATATCTAGAAAATTGGTGATAATTTTTTAATGGGCTCGAAATAGTTTGATGATTAAAAGTGGAATCATGTCATAGTCTTGGGACCAAAAGGTGCAATGCAATCCAAACAAATAAAATAAGGGAAATATTCACCTGCAGCCTCCAAACTCTACACCTTAAAGCATTTGGGTCAGGATTCATTTTTTGTTATTTTGAGTTTGAGACCTCAATTTTTCAATTTAATGCAGACACGTCATCATGGAAGGTGGTTTATCGAGAAAAAAAGATAGAACTTTTTTGTTTTCCTTTCTTCTCTTCGTTTTCCTTCTTTTTAAACAACAATGTGTTGAACTGCTTCAATAAGTCTTCTTTTTTACCCTTTTCATTTGTAATATTTTAGAGAAATATACTAATGGAATTACCACCACCTAAACTCTGAAATGATTGCGTGCTTGGAAAATTGGAATTGGCTGTTTAATGAAATCTTGCATGATTTCCTTCTAAAACAACCTATCTGCACTAAATTAAAAGTTTGGCGATCTGAAAAAAAAAAAAAATGAATGGAGACTCAAGTGCTTTAAGAGAGAAAGTTTATGGACTGTTGACGCAAAATTTGCTTAAAATAGTATTAAGCACTTGTTTGATCTGCATTATTTCAAAAATATATTTTTTTTCTCCCTTCTTTTTCACCACATAGTTTTTAATAAAATAATATTCATGCAAAATTATAACCTTTTTTTTTAAATTTTTTATTTTCCATCAATTTACTATTTCAAAATGTATTTTTAAGAAAAATGGGCGCCTAAGTGAGAAGTTTTATAACGCATCTCACGTGTTTGTATTGCAAGACAGCAAGATACACAGACACGTGCTTGACCCATGACCCTTCAATGCGACTAAACCAAACGCGTCCCACACTTCGCACGTACCTGTCGCCTTAACAAGAAAAAAATATTATTTTACTCGAAAAAATTATTATTCTGATAGAATAATCTGCACCACTCATCTTCCCCGAAAATTTTCAGAACCCACCCCCCACCGCACTAAAATCTGATTCCATCTCCTTATTAAAGGAGTGGACAGCCTCATCCATTTCAACATCTGCCTTTCCCTTTGTTATTATCAACAGAAATCTGCGTTATTTTGCAAAATAATTTTGAGCTACAGAATATATATATATATATATTTCACGAATTTTCACCTCGACGAGATTTCTGTTTATCAGAACGGTTTAAACAGAGGAGCAGGGCTTCAATAAATAGGCATTTTCTCTTTTTTCCCTCTGTATTCTTGAGTGAAAATTATTTTCTTTACCATGCAAATCAAGAAATTGGTGTCTCTGCCTTCTCGTACAGGAAGACATTTGCAGCGTTATAATCAGGGCTGTCGCCTTGTTGTTGGGTATGCATTCTTCTTCCTTTCTTTCAAGACTTTTTTGAATTGATTGATTTAATTGGAAATCCTTTGCACTTGGATTGTGGTTTTTTTGATATTCATGTTTTTTTAGACTTATTATTCTATTTTATTGCATTTTCTGCAGATGTATTCCGTACAGAATCAGGAAAGCTGATAAATCATCCCCAAATGAAGAATTGGAAGTTCTTTTGATCAGTTCTCAAAAGAATTCAAACATGATGTTCCCTAAGGTATTTTTTATTCATTTCCTTTTATTTTGGCATATGGAAAGGAAATAATTCGTAATTAATTAATGGCCTAATTCTCTGGTTGACATTGTTCATTTTGCTGTGGATAGGGTGGTTGGGAAATAGACGAGGATATAGAATTGGCAGCTTCACGAGAAACCCTGGAAGAAGCTGGTGTAATCGGCTCGCTCGGGGTCAGTATCTCTTATTCTTGTTGGACTAGTTGTACTGATGAAATTCGACTTTCAAAAGTAATAAAAAGTGGAAAAAGTAAAATTATTAATAGATTTTTCTTAGGCAGACGTCAAAATAATGTAATAATGGATTTTGCATGTATGCCATATTTTCTTTCAGCGTCACACTTTTCATTAATTCACCAGAAAAAGTAGACGGTGCGTAAACTGAAACAACGATGAAAGTTCAGCAATTGATTTTGGAATAATGGATCTTATGTCATTTTCTAATGTTGTGGTTCCGTTTGTTTCTTGCAGGATAAATTAGGCAAATGGATATTTAAAAGCAAAAGGCAAGAAAAGTTTCATGAGGGATCCATGTTTTCCCTGTTAGTCACCGAGGAATTAGACGTTTGGCCCGAGAAAAATGTCCGTCAACGGAAATGGGTATGTCCAAATATTGAACTTTCTGTACATAGGTTATCCCGACATATATGTTCAATGCAATCTTGTTATATAACAAGTTCTGATATCATATTGAATTGAACTCCACAGATGACGGTTAATGAAGCTAGAGAAGTGTGTGCACATTCTTGGATGAAGGAAGCTTTGGATAAATTCTTGCTTGTGCAGAGGAACGGGCCCAAACATGTGGCATGCTCCTGCAGAACTGAAGAACTAAGGGCAAGCATCGGAGGTCAAGGCGTGGAAGAGGAAGTTGATTGTTACTTGATTAGTTGATGGCAGGGGCTAGCCATCTAGGCTTGTTTCCACTTGTTGGATATGGTCGATCCACAGCTCCTCTCTTCTCGAGAAATTAGAATGCATAAGGAGCTTGTGAGATTAACGTAGTTGGTGGCCAGGTTAGCGATCTAGGCTAGTGTTCCACTTTCGTGGATTGCCAACTTTTGAGCTACCGCAACAGGAATGGCTTGAAAATGTTTGTACAGAAAATAGAGAAAATTATTTGAATTGAATATGTTCTTTCGTGTTGATTTCATAGTTGATTCTGTGCTTTGATGCTTTTGATTTTCGAGTCCATTGAAATACTAAATGAACTTACATATGCACACCAATATTGAACAATTAGAAAGGTGATCGTTTTCAACTGATGCAGACAATTCCATGCTGTGATTATTAACTTGTAGAATAATTTAAATCGTCATTTGAAAGCAAACACCCCCAGCATGCATAGAAAGCGAGCCCATATTATATTAAAGCGTGAGAAATGTGCCAAGACACGTAAAGACAATGCAAACTACCAATTAGGACCCGAAGACAGTTTGATAATACTCCCACCAGAATTTGACAGATGAAGCGATGGCCTCCTTGGCTGAAATCAACCAAAGGTTTGCGTAAATACCACACGGACTTCACTTCCAGTGAGCAAGCTATCGCATAATTGTTGATTCGGCCACCACATCTCTCGTTCAGATGGTGGTTGAGGGAAACAATAGATTTCAGGCGACAGACATGACTAGTATGAAGTTTGACACAATAGAAAATTCACCGGAAAGTGTTGTCGGAAATTCGACTACCGCAATTAAAAGAACAAAGAAAAATAATAAAAAATAAAAACAGATGAAGCGAGGTATGCCAAGTCAAATCTCCTTAAGACAGATTTCGCCCCCCCAATAATGTGCAAACGGGATTATGAATGTTTGTCTTCCAAGATACAACGCTTCTTCCAAAGTCGATATTGCACGATATCAACCTTGTCGATTGAACCAAAGAACGAACGTACTTGAACGGAATAACAAC